ATGTGTTGTTACCAAAGAGCTTGGCTGTATCATGGAGCCCCTGCACTAAAATCTGCAAAGATCTGGCACAGAGACATGGAAAACTGAAAGTCCAATTAAAAAGAAACGCATACCAGCTACTGATTGATAATAAAGTTATGACGTGTCAACACCAGAAGTGGTGGATGATATGGTGGATGAAAATTGATGGATGATTTTAACCTAGTACAGTATCTACATTCTGTATTCAGACAGTTGAGTGTCTCATAATGATGACCCATCACTTGGTTATTTTTCCAGAGGGTTTTCTATAGTAGTCCTATAGGGTTTTCTACTAGTTATTTCCTGGCCCAATGACAAGGACAGATGGGATTCAATTTAGTAGAACCTGTGTCCTAGCCAGTTCTTTCCACAGTGATTACATGTCACAGACTTTCCCCTTGTGATGAAAGCCTTTTCCATCAGTTTCCAAGGAGAGTTACTATATTTCAATGTAAATATCACAACCCACCCAATTTCCTTCTGTAAGCCTGTGCTATTGGCCTCAGACAAATAGACACTGCAGACATAGGATAGACGCAGTCTGAACATTGTGATAGGCTATGCTGCCCTCTACAGGGCAATATTTTCAGTAACATTGAAAAATAATTGTTTAGTGAAATCTCAGTAGAAATGTCTGAAATCTCAGTAGCCTAAAGATGATCCCTCAACCTGTTTCCTTGTCTTCATCGACACTGATGTGAAAGTACTGTGAAACTTTGTCCAACTTGGTTTGAACCTGGGCCGTCTGTGCACCGCAAGACCGATTCAACCAACTGAGCTAAAGCCTAGAGATTAGCTCAGGGGAGTTAACGCAAGTCTTCAGGTCTCAGGCAAGGTTACTCATTCAAGCATAGTTCAGTGAGCCACCTCTGCTACAAAACCTACAAATAGGCATGCGCCATATTGCTTTCTTCCGTATGTTTCCACATCAGTGCAGATTAACCTAATCAATTACAGAATGCTGCACCAACCTGTTCTCTGAATATGAACTACTTGACAGCCCGGCAATACTTCCCATCAACATGCATCAGTTACTCAAAATAAACTGGAACGGCAGCCAGAAAGACAGTTAATATGGGGGTGCATGTCTTCGAATGTAGACTATAACTGTCGGGGGAGCTAATGACAAATGTCCCCTTGTCAAGCAGTCTGTCACAACAATTCATCTGTTGTTCCATGTTCAGTGTGTAATTGGTGCTATGCTTAATTAATGACAGTATTCTGAAAGGTGTATTTATATTCATTTACCTCGCCAGTCCCCTAGGTATGGTTATAATGAGAGATGCATAATACACACTGCTCTGGCACAACAAGAAAAATCCACAGACAAAACCAACAATGACTGGCTGACCCCTGAATTAACGTTAAAGTTTAGAACTATGCTTAATATTATGCATTAGCAAAATATACAGTAGGTCTACAGTGCATGCTAATGGAGTTTCTCGTCTCCAAAGTTGAGGTATGGGTTAACTTTGAGATGAATTGGCTTGAATAGGCCTAATTAGGTAGGACTGCCACCACCATGCATTGTCAATAATGATTAGGCTCAATTAAGTTAGCACCTCCATACTGAAATCTTAAACAACAACTTTGATTAACAACATGATTAAACTAATTATACTACCCATTTGTCATTAAAAGCTTTTCAGTCAGTCATAACTTTTAATCTTCTGGAAACATCAATTAAGACACTCAACACCTGGTGAATTTAGATAAGTATACAATCTTTGAAATATTTTGACATTTAGATCTCAATTAACATAACACGCCTGGTAGAAAATCAACTGCAAGATTTCTCTGACAAGTTAATTGAGATGTCTCATTGGGCCCTTTTTTAAATTTGTGTGCCAGTTTTTGCTATTTCATAGCAGGCCGACATTTCCGAATAGTAGGCTACAACATTGTAGGCCAACAAGGTCATTAAAAAGAAATATATACTTGGTATAGGCATATTTAAAGAAGATAGGCCACACTTTACTGCCAGACCAAATAAGATGACTCATATAAATATTCATATATTATTTCATTGCACTCACCACAGGGCCGTGTTCCATAGCTGTTCATCACCTCCCCCAGACTGGCAACATCAGGCTGGAGTGAATATCTTCCTCCCAAAGAAATAGCCCTCAATCTATCAAGTTTTATATAGTGTCAAACAAGTCTGGCAGCTACAGTGCATCCTGCTTTCCTTCCTTTCTTGAAGTAATTACTCATTAGAAATGGCTGGACAGATGAATGCCATGAGGTGAAGGCCTTGCGTTCACCTGTACAATCATGTATAATCAGTGATTACTTCAAGGAAGGGAGGAAAGGTGTACTTTAAGGAATTTGAACGGCTCATGTGTATCCAGGTCCCAGACTTGTGAGCCAGCATTGACATCTAGCGGTCATTTGGTAGAAAACAGTGAATAGACCCCGTCCTTATTGTGTTCCTGACAAATATAATTTATCATTCTCCACCCAGACCCCAGAACCAAAGGCATGAGTTCCTCAATGGACTACTGGAACATGTTTGTATCCAAATTGCTGACTCAGTAACTTCATTAAGATAATGGTCTTGGAGGGTGTTAGTAGAAAGAATACACACTGGAAAGCCAACCCTCACCAGAAGTGGAGCGGGAGAGAAAGAAAGAGGAGAGGACCGACAAGGCCAGAGAAGTCTCCTTAACAGCTCTATATGAAAGGCTAATAGAGTACCACAGTATGAGTCATAATACCCGTAAAACCTGGCGTGACGTTTTGATAACCGTGTAAATCTCTCTAAGACAATGAGACTTTTATCAATATATTCATTCACCTGTATTTACCCCCCAAAAACGAAATGCTAATTATCTGCTAATGTGGCTATCATAAAGACCTACAAATGCCATGGTGATCTGGATGAGACTGCCGAATCGAGGCAAAAGTAAGAATCTTTGGATTAACTATCTGTTAGCTACATTTAGTAATTAATAAATTGGCAAAATGTATTTAAATTGACAACTCTGTGAATTGTCTTGTGCAAGTTTTAAATTGACACAATACCTGTTAGCAAAGGTGTCAGCTAGAGATGATGTGCAGGAGCTTGCAGGGATTTAAGTCGTGCATGATGTCTACTTTTATGCTAATTAGCATTTTCAGATCAGAGTAAATAGAGCCGAATATATTGCTAAAAGTCACCTTGTCCGAGAGAGATTTACATGGTTATCAAAACGTCACGCCAGGGTAAGCCTACATGAAACACAGCCCTTATTTTAAGTGTTTCAAAAATTCCCTATGGGAAAAATGAATGGTGGAAAAACGTCTGGAACAGTTTCCCTGTTTGACCACTAGGTTTTATGGGTATTATGACACCTCCACTGTGGGGCTCTATGGGGCATCACACTGATGCTTGGCAAAGAGCCTGCCCTTTCCTTCACCCCCACCCAGCGGACACAGTTGCCAGTGTGTCCACGCAGATGTATCATACACTCGTATGCATGCACACACACATACACACACCACATGTCATCTCCTCTGAAATAAATGTCTTAATTCAAGGCCACAATACAAAAAACAAATCGTACTCAAAAAAAGGTTTAGAGACGTATCTTTATTTACAGTATCAGGACATTCATGTACAAATGTGTTCCCATAATAAGGAGCCTCTCGTTTGATAGAGACAAACTTGGACTAATTTACAGTAATGACTAATGGGATTTATGAAAGAAAAACAAACGCTCTCTGCATATAGAAGTGTAAATTACTTGCAATTATTGCTTAAGTGATTGAAACCCATGGGATGTTCCCAGTTCTGGGTCAAACGTGTGCAATGGCTTTTTAAACAGTATTATTTAGAGACACACTCTTAAAGCAACATAACGTTTGTTTCATATACATATAATTAACCCTCCCTCCCCCCTTTCCCATTTTAGAAGATATCTATAACCTTAAACAAACAAAACACCTTAAGAAAAGAGATGGCAGACGAAACATGGACAAAAAAAGAAAAAGAAGAATAAATGATGCAATTGTATTTATGGGCCAAGTCATTGCTAATTCTCCAAGCACGGCACCAAAGAAGAAAACAAAAACAAAACAAAGTATCACAACAAGGCTTAGGGCCAGATGCAATCAGATCCACCTTAGCCGAAATCCACATAGCTGATGTTTTGAAATTGTCGGAGGTGGAACTGAGTTAGAGCTGTCAAATCCACAACGGCTCCCGGCATTATACCTAAAGCAGATATCACCATTGGCTGCTCGGAGTCGCATTGAGAGAAATCCCATGCAGCCTAGTTTACAAGTTCGAACACTGGAATGTGAGATTAATCTACACCTCGATTAGGCTGGTAGAAATCCTCATTATTTTGCTCAATGATTTTCAATTTGAGCGTCATTATTTCTATATAGCCTACACTTTCTCGTTCTGAACTTCTAACGCAACTGGGACGGGTGTGGCTTCGTTACAATGATCACAAGAGCAGCTCTGATTTGACAGCTCCAACGCAGTTCAACCTCCGACTGCCAAAACATCAGCTATGGGGGTGTCGGATTACGCCGGTTAACGCTTGATCTGATTGAATCTAGGCCTTAGTCTGGAGTAACAATTCCCATGTATAGTAAAGCAGCACAAACATAAGACAAAAAATGACAGAAGAAAATTAAGAGTTTGGCTTACGAGTTCAGACCATGAGGTGGGTTAAAAAGTGTCCAATACTTCTTATGGTTTGTAAGTGCGATGTTTTGTACCGCTTTCACCTAGATGTAAGAGCAGGGGTTCATGGTTCCTGGAGAGCTACTGGGTGGTGCAGGCTTTTGCTCCAAGCCATCATTAATGTACCTGATTTTACTAACCAACCAATTAGGGCCTGATTGGCTGAATTAGCTGGTGTGTTAGTGAACGGCAGGAGGGAGACCCAACACAACCAGTACCTCTCCAGGACCGGAGCGAAGACCCGTTGTGTAAAGGTTGAGATGAGTTTGTCTGTGTGTGTGTGTGCATGTGTGTGTTTGTCTGTGTGTGTGTGTGTGTGTGTATATGTCCTTCAGTAGATGAACTCCCCGGGAACCTCTTGGAGGGCGCTAAAGGGCTCCTCGAACTTGAAGCGCTTGGAGATAGCCTTCTGGTCGGGATTTATGACCTCCTTGTCTGTTGACTGGCGACACTGGCCCAGTGTGTAGGCTGCCACCACGATCAGCTCCTCTGTCACAGGACCTCCTTCTTCCTCCTCTTCCCCGATGGGGCTCTCAGGGCTGGCTGGCTCCGAGGGGCACATGGTGGGGCTGATAGTCTCTTTCACCTCTGCGGTCGCCTCTGCCTCCTTTTTCTCTTTTGTCTGGAGCCACTGGTGCTGCAGGCACTCTTCTGCTGTGGCACGGTTCCTGTTGGGAAAAAGGAGAATGCCAGGGAATCAATGGGAACTTCTACCACCATATCCACCTTCTCCGCTGGCTTGGTGGGTTTGAGCAAGCATGGCACATGCAACACCAAGGCTGTGGGTTTGATCGCCCAAGGGACCTATTCTATACTGTATATATACACTGAACAAAAATATAAACGCAACATGAAAAAATGTAAAGTGTAAAGAGCCCAGAGATTTTCCATACGCACAAAAAGCTTATTTCTCTCTAATTTTGAGCACAAATTTGTTTACATCCCTGTTAGTGAGCATTTCTCATTTGCCAAGATAATCCATCAAACTGACAGGTGTGGCATATCAAGAAGCTGGTTAAACACCATGATCATTACACAGCTGCACCTTGTGCTGGGGACAATAAAAGGCCACTCTAAAATGTGCAGTTTTGTCACACAACACAATGCCACAGATGTCTGCTGACTGCAGGGATGTCCACCAGAGCTGTTGCCAGAGAATTTAATGTTCATTTCTCTACCATAAGCCACATCCAACGCCGTTTTAGAGAATTTCGCAGTACGTCCAACCGGCCTCACAACCGCAGACCACGTGTAACCACACCAGCCTAGGACCTCCACATCCGTCTTCTTCACCTGCGGGATTGTCTGAGACCAGCCACCTGGACAGTTGAGGAGTATTTCTGTCTGTAATAAAGCCCTTTTGTGGGTAAAAACGAATTCTGATTGGCTGCCCACCCATGGCTGCCCCCCTGCCCAGTCATGTGAAATCCATAGATTAGGGTCTAATGAATTTATTTTAATTGACTGATTTCCTTCTATGAACTGTAACTCAGTAAAATCGTTGAAATTGTTGCGTTTATATTTATGTTCAGTATAGAATACATGTCTTTAACTGTCATTTTTAGTGGATTAAAGAGTCATGCTAAATGACCACATTACTCACTGGGGTTCTTTGATGAGCAGGGCTTTGATGAAGGTGATGGCGGCCTGGTCTACATGCTCCAGCTCCTCCTCCTGGTAGCTTACGTTGATCTGGGAGATGTTGAGGAAGGTCTCCTGCTTGTCCTCTCCCAGGAAGGGAGAGATGCCTGTCAGCATCACGTAGGCCAGTACACCAATACTCCTGTCAGCCATATACAGTGACAAACGGTTAGACGGATATACAGCCACTGGAAATAAGTTGAAGATTTTCTCTGTAAGATAAACTCATAATAATTTTAAATGCCCATCTAGGGAATGATGCTGTTTTCTTTCATGTGTGAAGTTTTCCATTGTATATCTCTCTTTCCCAAATAAGCTATTGGATAATTCAATCACAAACCATACAACACACTGTTGCACTAAGATAAAGTACAGTGAAATGCCACTTACCACATATCTGTCGCTGTGCTAATCGGCTCGTAATTCAGGATTTCTGGAGCTGCAAAACATTTGTATTTATTTTATTTGGGTGAACTATCCCTTTAAAGACTTTTGACATGATGAGTGCAGTGACCATGATGGTCATAACAAAATGGCGTCTGTCAGGGGTTTTGTGTTTGCTGCACTACTTACCCACATACTCCGGGGTCCCCATGATCTCCCTGAGCTCCTGACTGCTGCTCACCATCCTGGACAGACCAAAGTCCACGATCTTGATGTCCCCCAGAGGAGCATCACTGGTCAGCAGAATGTTCTGGGGCTGGAGAGGAAGACAGAGAAACACAGCAGCATTAGAGGAAGTCCAGTGGGGCTAACATGCGTGTGGGTTTGGTCCTGTGTCTAAACCACGGTATTAAAGCTTGATTCCATCTTTAAAGGGATAGGGCAACATTTTGGCAATTAAGCCCTTTCGCTAGTTAGCAATGGCTCCAGAAACTACCTTCAACTTCCTTCAAACTGCATGCAGACAAAAATAAAATGGTATCCACGAGTTCATTTGACTCTGGGTAAGTATAATTGTTTTTCAAAATGTCACACTATCCTTTTAACCACTAGGTGGACTATGTAATCACATGCAAATAACAAGAACGTTGGTAAAGCGTCTAACAGGGGTTAGGGACTGACCTTGAGGTCCAGGTGCACCATGTTGTTCCTGTGGAGGAAAGAGACTCCCTCTAGGATCTGTCTCATCAACCTCTTCACGTCCTCCTCTTTGAAGGCCTCGTCCCTCTCCGCTACACACTGGTTAAAGATCTCCCCTCCCGCTGCACTGTGGACACACACACACCGACCGACCGGTTAAAGATCTAATCTTTTCCATACAAACATGCAACCAAGTTGAAACCGTAATAGTAGTATTTTACAAGCTGCTTTGCTTTTCGGATTTGGCAGGTCGGCTATATGCTGGTGAGTATTGGATGCACACAGACCACAAGTAAAACCACACACCTTATAAGTACAAACATTCAAACCTTGCATTTTGCATTTCATTACTCTTTCTCTGTCACTGTCAATAATTTCTTAACCTCGACCAGTGGTTTGCTGTATTCTGTGGGAGTCTGGGATAACCGGTCCTGAATGACCAATCACTGAATGATTGATGACTGTGATTACTGTGTTTCTCCTGTCTGGTGGTGATGGGTATGCTGCCTTCCAGCTAGGTCTGGACAGTGGCTTTAGCTGTACTGTTAGTACAACTATTTGACATTCCAGAGTTGAGGTGGAGTATTTACTATTATTCCACCAGCTGGGTGATTTTGCCCTGGGCCATGCTAGCTGTTGAGTGATCCACTCCTGACGTTGACATGGACAGCCCTTTATAATGATATATGGCCACTGTTAATGAGGAGAGACCCTTTTTAAGAATCTGTTTTCCTCTGTAGCCAGCCACAGACAGTGATAAGTCCTGCTAGTTCACCAGACAAGGTCATGGATATCCTCTTGGGTGGGCTTTGGAGGGGCCGTGTGCGTGTGTGTGTTTGGGGTGGCAGATATGTGTGTGTGGCTTAAGCAATGGCATTCTGTTCCAAAACTTCTCCGGTGGGATGTCAAAACGACTTGAACTTGAGTCTATTCCAGTATCCCCCCTTGGGGAGATGGGCAATAGACAGCTAGCTATCTAGATCAAGGGGGTGTGTGGAAGGCTCCATCTCGCTAGAGGGATTGGCAGAAATAGTGCTGTGGCTCTAAACATAGTACACCAATTATGGATCGTGCACTACAATACCACTATTGACACGGTTTCATTCACCACATGATCATACATGTGATTTGTGAGTAATATTATGAATATTTCACAACACAGTATGCAAGTAAGTGAATATGAAAATATCCAATACAGTAAATAACAAAATGACATGGAACGGAAAGGACTCGCCTTTTAAAAATCACTGGCAGTTCTTAGTGACTGAGGGATAACACTATTTTACAGTCCTATTTCGATGGTTATTACAAAGAATGTTGTCTTATAAATGTATATTTGCTAGTACTTACTAAGCACTGCTTCAACTAATCCCAACAAATCTAAAAGGTCATTATTAGGTAACCATTGCGCACATCATTTCATGTGGCTAAGTAAATACCAGGCAAGCAACAGACTGTAAAGTCAATACTATTTGAAAATCTTGTGTTCTCTCTCATAGTACCAGTGGTGTAAAGTACTTAAGTAAAAATACTTCAAAGTATTACTTAAGTAGTTTTTTGGGGTATCTGTACTTTGCTTTACTATTTATATTTTTGACTACTTTTACTTCACTACGTTCCTAAAGAAAATAATGTACTTTTTACTCCATACATTTTCCCTGACACCCAAAAGTACTCGTTACATTTTGAATGCTTAGCAGGACAGGAAAATTGTCCAATTCACACACTTATCCCTGGTTATCCTGACTGCCTCTGATCTGGTGGACTCACTAAAGAGACATGCTTCATTTGTAAATGATGTCTGAGTGTTGGAGTGTGCCTCTGGCTATCCTTAAATAAAAAATAAAACAGGGTGCCGTCTGGTTTGCTTAATATAAGGAATTGGAAATTATTTATACTTTTACTTTTGATACTTATGTATATTTTAGCAATTATATTTACTTTTGATACTTAAGTATATTTAAAACCAAATACTTTTAGACTTTTACTTAAGTAGTATTTGGGTGACTTTCACTTGAGTCATTTACTCAAGTATTACAATTGGGTAATTTTTCTACTACTGCATAGTACTCACAGGAGCTCTTTGATAGGCTTGATGATGTGAGGAACTAGCAGGAGAGAAAAACACCACCCTGTGCCCCTTTCTACACGACACCTTACGTGACACATGAAACTAACTTCATTTCCTCCTGACCTGCAGTGACTGCCACTCAATTAGGTTGGAAAGCGAGACACGAGAAAGTGTGTTGAAAGAGTGAGGCTTATCAAAAATAGACAAGGGCTCCCTTCAGGCCAACATGAATTGGGTCCTGTCTGGGTATGGAGGGAGTTTCAGAAGTTGTTTTGGTTTTAAGGCTGAAAATACAGCGCTTTCCACATGCCAGGTTGAAAACAGAGGTAGAACAGAGAGGCGTCAGACTTTAGTCAGCTGAGTGGTAGGCTTCATGTAGGCCTGCTGTATGTGTGTCACATGGGTCTAAACTCACGGTGTGTGGTGTGGTTTTGGGTTATATTTTATCAGGTGGTGTAGCAGTATGCTGCGTTGCTCTGTGGTGTGGTGTTGTGCTGTGCTCATGATGGAATTACTAGTAATTCTATTTCTCTGTTGTGTTAGTGTTGTGTCACTCCTTGGCTGTCCAGTGGCTAAGCCTGGGTGTCTGTCTGTTGTCTCCGGTCTGTCTGTTTGTCTGTCTACCCATTATCTTCCCTCTCCGAGTATAGGATCCATCATCGAACCATCGTCCAAACCCTTCACTGAGAGAGAGGCCCCATCGAAAGCAGTGATTACTCCAGTCAATGTACTGTCTGCAAAGGGTAGAAGGCTGAGAGAGAAAGCCAACTCAACCTCTCCCCATTCATTATTTTCAATATCTTCCAGACAGGTGAGTCAGAAAGTGAGCCCATGCATACACTTCTGAGTGTACGGTAATGTCCTTGAGTGATATTAAACATGTCTCAATACTTAAAGAATAAATGTCCTTTCCTTCATTAACACTGATAGGTGAATAGGATTCTACTATATTGCTTCCACCCCTCATGTCCTGCCAGATCAGCCATCATGGAAGAAAGAAAACAAGGAGAAGGTAATTTAAAGGGCAACTCCACCACTTTACAACCTCATTTTCATTATCTCCAGTGCAATACCAGTGTCAACATGGGGATGTAGCTCAGTTGATAGAGCATGGCGTTTGCAACGCCAGGGTTGTGGGTTCGATTCCCATGGGGGGCCAGTATAAAAAAATAAAAAAAATAAAAAAATAAAAAATTGTATTCACTAACTGTAAGTCGCTCTGGATAAAAGCGTCTGCTAAATGACTAAAATGTAAATGTAACATAGGTGAAAACGGCGTATTATATATGAAGTTAAAAAGTTCATAGTCAAAAGTTAAAACATTTTTAAAACAGTGCTTTTCAAACACTATGAGAGTCGCGGTGACGTGGGGAGCAAGAAGAATATCCTCCCTTGGACTAGAAAGTTGTTGCAGGTTTTGAAAATCACTGTTTTTTTACTTTCAATACTACTCTGTGATGTCACAGAAGCATTATTTTTTTTTTTACCACAGACACTAAGCTGTTTTCACATATGTAAACACTGGTTTGGTGCTGGAGATGATGGAGATGCTAGAGTGGTCCTCTGTAGCTCAATTGGTAGAGCATGGCGCTTGTAACGCCAGGGTAGTTGGTTCGATCCCCGGGACCACCCATACGTAAAAATGTATGCACACATGTCTGTAAGTCGCTTTGGATAAAAGCGTCTGCTAAATGGCATATTATGATGAATATGAAGTTGAAAAGTGGCCATTTAACTATTGAGACACAGCATATAACTGTCTAGTTGAGGGTGAAATGTGCTTTTCCGTTATGGTCTCTTATGGCCATTCTGGAGAGAGAGAGAGAGAGAGAGAGAGTGAGAGAGAGAGAGCAAGAGAGAGAGAGAGAGAGAGAGAGAGAGCAAGAGAGAAAAACCCTGCAGTTTCGCTGCCTGACCAGCAGGTGTCAGTCAAGGGCAGAGGAGGGGCTGGGCACAGTAACCTGGTTTTAATGTCTATGACAGTAACAGAGTGGGATTAAACCTAAACAGAGGGAGACCTCCTGCCCAGGTCGAGGTCTGGTAAAGCACTCTGCTCCATATGGTCAGCCACGAACACCCCATGGAGCACTAACTAAAGGCTGCGTCAGGAAAATCATGTTCTCCTCTTTGTTTTCCCTCCAACTCAGTGGTTGTTAAATGTTTCAGCATTGTGACCCACTAATCAAATCATCACAGCTGAGTCTCAAACTACAACTCTGACTTGGTCCCAAGTTCTGACCCACCATTTGGGGAAACAAATTGCCCCAACTGCTTAAAAAAATATACAAATCTGAGTCTTTTGAACGTTAGCCACTTGGTACCAAAACAACAGAGCGGATTCTGTTTGAACTTAGCGACTAGTATAATGCCGGACATCAGAGACGTCCAACTGGCAGAGAAAACACTGACAACACGGCACAGAACCAAAATGGTTCCCAGTGGCCGGGTTTTTTGGGGACAGTTTCTCAGAGCCTCCCCATCTCTCTGTATTCTCCATAGACACGAGGACACGGAGGGTTCAAACTGGTTCCTCTGTTAGCATGGCCGGTAATTATAGTCTAGCGCTGCCAGTTTAGCCTCTTAGAGCCTCTAAACACTGAGTGCACCAGGGGAATCAGGGAAAAAAAATCTGGCGGATTCATAACTAGGTCATTGTTGTTTTGGATGATGAGAGCACGTCTGGCCAGTTGCTGCTGTACTGCGTTGGTGTGGTGGGACTGGGGGTGAAACCACCTTCTAATCCGAGGGGGGACCCACACAAAGTAACATAAACTCTTAATGCCAAGGTGCCACACACATCACATGCACAAAACAAACTCTTGGAAGGTAGCCTATTGCCCTATTTCAGAGAAAATGGCAGTCTTTATCTGAGTATAATATTTATAGGATTTGGGCCCTTAGTAGAACAGGTCAATCATTGCTTAATCAGATCTGCTGAACATGTAATTATGAACAGTGTGTTTTGGAATCATATTCAGTGGTTAATATGAAATAAGATTATAATTTTGATACCAATTTCCATGATACTTGTAATAAAGCTTGTCAATGTATTTATGTGGATGGGATATCTTTGATCAGTGTTCGGTCTGAGTGGAGAAAACGTTTCCCGTGCCCTGGATTAATGAAATCACACTGATCACCGACCTATTTCACCCAAACCAAATTTCTATTTTTGGTGACCCTTTTTGTTTCACCACTCAATCAACAAAAATGAAGACTAGCCACTTTATCAATGGAGGATGGAGAAAGAGAGAGAAAGAAAGAGGATGTGGTTGGATGGATGGTACAGAGTGACAAAACGATCAAGTGCCATCGGGCGCAGTAGAGCTCACGGAGGTGTACTATTCCCCTCGCTCCGGAGATTAACCCCCCCCCCCCTACGGGCTGGCAGTCACAGTCCGGACCCTCGCGTGCCGCCATGGAGCACCACTGACATAATAAACTTCCAGCTGGGGCCCAGAGAGCCCAATGAGGCCACATTCCTCCCTCCCTCACCCAGTCCCTCCCTATCCCATCCCATCCTGCCTGGAAAAGCGCTTTGGACCCCTCCCCCCCCTTCCTTCCCCTTCCGCCTCATACTATAATTGCATGAATAGCTCTCTTTAATTTCAGGCTGACACTCATCCGAAGCCTCCGCCGACCCCCTCTCCTCATTCCTCCCGGTTTGCCGTAGAGCCTCAAAATATCCATCAGCTGTAAATAAAAACACACAAAAAACAAGAGGAAAAAGGAAAAACACACAGAATCTATTACAACCAGGACTTTCTCTCTCTCATCCTCCATCTCCGTCTCCCTCCATCACCCTGTCTCCCTCCATCTGTCTCTCTCCATCTCCCTCCATCACTCTTTCCACTGATTTCACATGCCAGAACCTCATACAGGCTAAATGCATTCCGCTCTACTTCCCTTCCGTATTAAAAAAAGAAGAGAAAAAAACTAAACAGCTCCATTATCCGTATTGAATGGTGCTGACAGGGGCACTGCCATTCGGCAGGGAGGGATCGCTTCCTATCCTTCACTCATCCCTCCTTCTTTGATAGGGTTATGGTTCCCCTCTTGGTGGTACAGTAGAGAGGGATAAAGGGGGTCTTTCTTGTGGCAGGGGATGGGTAGTCAACTGAGGATTGAACAGCAGATCAACAATGGGCTTGGGTGGAATTAAGACTAAGGGGAGTGCAGCGGCAATTAAGGGATATTCTATTCTAAAAGATTACATTCTAATACACAAACAAAATGTAATCCCGCAAATGCTATACACTGATATAGCTATGCAACTGAACAATCCCAATATTCTCAAATAAATATAGATTAGGCTGAACGATCACAGTCTCAAAGGAGAGTAGAACATTGAGTAATATCAAATGTTTTAACTTTCCATCTATGGCATCTCATCATGTTAACTTGAGCAATCTAATTTGCTCATGGAGGCTATTCCAGTATTTGCCTATTGAGTAGCCCCCACCACAGGGAACATTATAGCCTTGTCCAGGTGAGCAGTCAAGTCACAGAGGGGCTCCATATGGACTGGAGTGACCGCTAGCGGAGGTTAGCAGTGTGGTTCCCTTAGCATTACCTTAGGATGCTAATCTAGCAGGCCAATCAATTATCTCCCTGCTAACGCTAATGCTAATGCTAACACCACTCCCATCCCCCAGGCTACTCCAGGCCAGGGCACCACAGGGGTCCACTTAAAGCTGCTTTAACCCTGAGTCAGAGGGGGACGCCCAGCAAGCCACAGATAAGATGTGTCTGTAGGCTACTCCACTGTACTAGGACCTCCTCACAATTAAATCAATGTTGGAGCCACTTCATGTTGGCTAATGTACGGAATTTGAGACAGTATTCAATAATCTTTGGTGGCAGCGGGAAAAAACAATAAAAGGGGAAAAAATTGAGTGGTGAAGCTGGGTGGATGTGCATTGTCTCTGTGGCCACAGTCATTAAAACCCATAGATAGATAGCACGCATCCATCAGACATGGTGGACGTCAAAGTGGGCCGTTTTAAAACTCAGGTTGGAGTGGGGTGGTAATGTGTGCATGCGTCTGTGTAGGTGGGGGCATGAAACATGAGGGCTACGAGTGCCACCTGCACTAGGCACGCGATTCTCTGCTGGGGAAAAAAATACCCTATTTTCTGGGTCAAACACTGTGACCCGGCCCAATGAAACATTAAAGTTGTGGGCTTAACATAACACGGTGAGAGGGTGAGAGAGAGGGTCTGCTCTGCAGTAAACTTGTTCCCCATCCTCCTTTAGCGTTTCATTAAGTAGAATAACATCTGTCTCTGCTGTTCTGAAACACACATAAACATGCACACACAGTGTGCCATTAAACTAGCAGCTCAGTTTAATAATTGAATGAACACATTGGAGAGAGAAAGAGAGAGAGGAGAGAGAGCGAGAGAGAGCCAAGCTGCCCTGTGGGAGGACAGGTGACCCCATGTTGAGTGAAGGGTCCAAGCCCCCTGAGCCAGCTCAACATATGGAAACATGGCAGCCTAGGGGAAAGTGCATGTCAATGGGCTCAATATGGGTGGGAGGGAAAGAGACACACACTCATGCGTGCACGTACATGTACACACACAAGGCCTGAGCAAACAGCGGTGGTGAGGTACTTTCCATGGGCAGGCAGGGAGGACAGCTCTGTTGGACTAGCTGCTGTGACCTCTCCCTTTATCTCTCCACAACACAGTCTTTTCACACACAAAGGGCACATGAGAACCAGGTCAGGTCACTCATTGGTCAACACTGATCTCACTCTATCACTCAAACATTAAGACAGTTGAAGAAGACCTTTGGAATGTATTGTTGATAAGTTGAAAGGATGCCACTGTTTTATCAAATCAGAATGATTTCTTCATTAAAGTGTGTTCATATTTTTAAGCCAGCCAATAATATTACAATATTGTAAAAGCAAAAGGCCTAGCCTAAATCAAGTACTTTGACTTGAAGTTAGTATTCGGTAGGTACTGTAGGCTAAAAGCTTTTCTTCTACAGTGAGTTTGAATCCAAAGCGCCTGGTGACCAGTATGGATCCTGTCTGGGAAACCAATCAGCCAGTCAGTGTGATGGCACAGCAGCTAAGTTCCCCTGAGAACACTCTCGCCCCAACAACCCCAAAGTTCAATGTCAGCATGTGACAAAGGGGAAACTCAAATCGCAGCGCAATGCGCCTGTGTCTGTGTGTCCCGTCCAGTGCAGCGGGGGGGGGGGGGGGGGGGGGGGGGGGGGGGGGATGGCATGTTGTTGAAATAGCCAGCGCTCACTGAGGCATGGGGAGTATCGCCCTGGGCTTTGGGACTGGATTACTGCTCTCTATGGCCCACTATCCACTTCCCTCTCCCTCTCTGTCTCTCTATCCAGTGAGGCCTCACTCTCTCTGCTTTATTCTAGTTCTGCCTCTACCTCAGGCAATCGTTCATTACTTTTTTTTGTCCCATCTCTCCTTGTGCAGGAATCTCCTCTCATTTATAGTCATTCTCTTTCTCTCCATCTCAGTCTCTCTCTCTTTCTCTCTGTGTCTCTGCTTACAGGAACGAGGGATAGTGGGTAGGGTTTCACCTCAGTCTCAATATTTAACGGCTTGCCTTGCCATTGACCTGCTGCCTTTCAATAAACCATCTGGGTCACAGGCAGCTAGGAGATCAGTCTGCAGTACCCGGGAGCCTTTCTCATACTTCCTGTGGGTCAAACGTGATACGTAGTGTCAAGCTACCTTTTCCACGGCCTAAATAACACTCTGCATTAGATCACAAGCATATTACCTATCCTGCTTTTTTAGATCAGTGTAAAAGAAGGAGATGGAGCCATATCAGACTATTGAGATACTAACTGTGTGTAAATGTGCATAAAAAGAGATGTTGTCCACATCTGAAGTGGAATAAAATGCCATTATTTTTCAACTCCGAGGGAAAAACCTTCTCTCTCTTCTACCACGACTGACCTTTTCAAGTAAACGCATCATCTTCATACCATAACTTTGAGTATGTGGCATTGTTCCTACAACTTCGTATTACCATGGTGCTATACTCACAATTGGAGGACAAGCACCATCTCTGCGGCCATCTCGTAGACCTGGTGCAGGTTGACCACCCGCTGGCTGGCCGTGGCGAGCTCCAGAACGGCCACCTCGTGGATGATCTCCAGCCTGCAGTCCTGGCCCTTCCTCCTCTTCCTCATGAACTTGGCAGCGTACTCCCGGCCCGTGCACTTCTCCACACACTTCCTCACCACTGCAAACTTCCCCCTGAGGAGAAGCACAGGCAGAGAGAAGAGGGTGTTGGGTTAAGACTTATATTTCACTGAGAGGTTGTTTTAGTACAGAGATTAAGGTAGACTAGAAAGTGCCTGGAAAAGCCTAATGCTATCTACAATTGAGTAGGTTTATTTATGCACCATTAGAGTTATTCTAAAGCCTTTTAACTATGGTCTCTGTAACTATGGTAACTGAAGACAGTTCATCACTTGGCATGACATGTTGACTATGACCTAGTTTCACTGACCCAATAGGCCGATACTGACTTTCTAACAATTCACAAGAACGACACAAAGCCACAATTTTCAGTCTGGTGAAACTAAAGGAGAGAGAGCAAGAGAGAGAGAGAGAGCGAGATCGAGAGGTGTGTAGTGATCCTGAGACCAGCACACTTGTTAACGTTGGATCTGAACATCCCTTTGTCTCCTTGGCATTTCTACAGGATGAAGTCATTCCCCGTCCCAAGTTGGCCCTTTTTCTCACCGCTACAGCCGTCTGCTTTGTGGCGCTGACCCACTTTGAATGTGGACTGTGAAGGGATAGGGGATTGGTCTGGTGTGAAAAACACACAGCGAGTGTCTGTATCTCAAATGGCACCCTATTCCCTATGAAGTGCACTACTTTTGATCAGTAGATCTGGTCAAAAGTATACAGGGAATAGGGTGCCATTTGGGACACAGCCAGTGTGTTGCCCGGGGGGGCCGCTCAAAGAGAAAGCAGTGTATAAAGATGACACGCCCACATCAACTCCCCTCTCGGCTACTGAGAATGCAGTCAAATGCTCTAATACACTGAACCAATGGCCCCATTATTTTCTGGCCTCATTATAAGAGGATATGACAACACAACCTTAGGTTCTAAATGTGTAGCAGAGACATTTAAATGAAGCATTGCTAGGTAGAAACAGTGTAGGCTACAGTGATAGTGTTTGCCTACATTGTTGTATATTGTTTCCAGGCAAAGGCAACAAAACATTTATTTACACTCTATAGTACAATAGTATTGACTTAACCTCTAAGGAGAAAGTATTTGCAGGGATAAGGAAATGTTCTTTGAACAGAGGTTTGCAGTGGAAAAGTCCGGACTCTCCGGAGCCAGACAAATCTCTGATAAACAGGTCTGAAGAATGATTTACCGGCAGAGGTGACTTGAGGAGGCTGATAAACTGAGTTTTGTGAGCGATAACCATACACACACGCCAAAACATATTGGCAGTTGAGAAAAGTCAGAGAGATTGACCTCTCTGGAAGTGAGTCAAGCTGCCAAGGGGTGGACTGAGAGTAAACATCCACCTAAACATCATTCCCCTGACCTCTCATCCAAGCCTTTGATTTTGAAACTCTGAACCACATATCACCTGCTCCTCCTCGTATCCGCCCACCTTCACCCCTCATTGCACACGCAGATAAATGGTGTAACACTCTGTCAATGGTCAACATCTGTCTTTCAAGTAAAGAAAACAGTGGCCTTGAAGGTTGAGTCTGGCAGCCGTCAAATATCTCAGGTTGTCTTTACTGTAAGGTTGTGTGAGGGGATGGGCGCATCCTCCCGGTCTTCTTCTGATAGTAGTTTCAACTAGCCTACACCATGTACAATACAGCCATGGCATGAGAGAGACTGGGAAGCAAAGAGGGATAGATCTGACCCAAGAGAAAACACAAGCAAGAGACTGTAATGAAAAGTCCAGTGCAGTCATGTCTGCCTAACGCCACCATGCTGAGTGTCATTGTCATGTTGTCGGTGCAGGAGTGGAAGTAGACAGGAAGAAATTGCGTCTGGAGTTGGTTTTGCCCTCCAGAGAACCATGCAGTAAATGTCTGAAGAGCGTCTTATACTTGATTCGCATATGAATTGTGAGAGACAACTATGCAGTAGCTGGTCAAAACGTTGCAGATCCTGATGTAATATGGTCATGGTGTTTTTAGTCTTTTGTTTTGAGTCGTGAATATTATAACACACCATTGAGAGAGAGCCTGGGCCCCGGGAGGGGGCTGACTTGGGGTTGTTGGTGCTGATCTGAGCTCCTGTGAGAGTCATGGGTCTGGAGGACTGTGCTGGGGCTCTAGGCTCTTCAGGAAGCTTTATTCCCTCTTGCCCTTCCATTCTCAATCCCATTCTGTCCAGCCACGCACAGATTTACTACATACAGCTGGGTCCGCCTTTCCCTTGGAAAACACTCGGGCAAGAAAGAAAATGTAAAGACAGGAGGATGAAAAAACGGCAAGCTCTTTGGCTTGTGCTGAACTCATAAAGTCCACAGAGGACTTGCCCTAATGCATTGGGTTAGGCTAAATGTTTAAGGGTGGAACTCTCTAGGTTGGGTTTATATGGGAAGATGGAAAAAAATCTCGAACACATTTCAGATGGTTGTGTAAATCATACACCTGAGGATGTGGCGGACAGAGGCGTTTGTTATTGTGAAAGGGATGTGACACAGTAAGAGTAAGGTGACAAGGTCAGCGAGACAGTGACACTACACACAAGCTCCCAATCACATTAGACAGCTAATTAGATTACCGCTCACTCCCTGTGAACCCCGTCACAACAGACCGTGCGCCAGGTGCGCTTGCTGGTGTTGGTGTGTATGAAGGCACAAAGCCATGACTCTCATTGGCACCAGGAGTCATTTAATGGCCGCTGGCAGCAGCCACTTCTATCCGACGGAGGTGTTTGAAATGTCAAGTATCACCTGATAAAACATATTCACACGTTTTACAGATGCCCTGAGAGACAAGCGCTCTAAAACATGAACATGAGGCACGTCAAGGGAGGAAAACCATTGGCTCTGTAATGTGAACACCTTGTCGACCATCTGAATAAGGAGGCTGGAAGAAAGATGCACTTGGTAGCTGCAGGAATGCACTTGACATTAGCTTGTGAAAATCCTTCGGGGAGGGAGGGCGTCTCCTCTATAGTCACAGCATCCAATGACAGGAATGCGGGGAGCAGACGTAATCTCTTGCATTCATAACATCTTAGCGGGCTGCGTCTAATCATTCAAGTTCAGAGGAAATTATTTTGGTGCTATAAAAGGCACCTTCCGTGCCTTTGAAACTAGCTAAAGAGCAGGTCTAATAGGCTTTTGCCGCACTTGACTGCATGGCTGAGGCATTCCTTCATACCTCTGCCACCACTACCGATACTCTAATCCAGCCCCTGCTGCCGTAAAATTGGTTTCTTAAAAACTTGAAAGCCCTGGAGCTCTGTACGGTCCAGAGGCGGGGTGTTAAGCGAATTGTCTTATGTAAAAACACTGCCATAGATGAGGTGTTTGTGGTTTAGCGTGGTGGCAGGGGTGCGAACCAGCCCTAGTCTAATGAAAACCCTCACAGCAGCCTCGTCCTGTCCCGTCCGCCACTCACCCACTGTGAGTAATGATGCTTTGATGCCAATGCCTCCGATCCAACGCTGTGTGAAGTTCATCAAGTCGGCCATTAATCTTTGCTATGCTTAGGGAGGGTGCTGGACAGGGGGCCTAGGCCTGTCTGGAATGTTCTATGGGTCATTCCAGAGGAGAGACAGCTAGCCTATTTTGATTTATATTATAGCTGGGCAACTATCTGCATGGTATTGAGGAGAAAACAGACTCTACCATCAATGCAAGCAGTGCACAGTATACTGAATGTTCCAAGTTCAGCCAGCACACATAAGCCTTTGATTTAGGGCTTGTGTACATGCTTGCTGGAGAGACTGGTTGGGACTGGGACTGAGGTACCTTTAAAACAGACCACAGCCTTTCTGCAGTCATGTCAGCACATTTCCAAAGCCTGTGTCCAAACATAGACAACACCCTGAAAGAGATGGCTTTCATGTGTGCAGAGACCGGGGGTGACTGCTGGGTCACAGTCAACGTAAAGGAACGGTTCGAATCAGAACAGATGGCTTGGCCGTTAATGGCCAATGGCCTGTATGCACAAAGACAAACGGCTCAAAACCACTGGACTTCATCAAGAGGCAGTAAGTTTCCATAAAAAAAACTACTGTAAAACTAGTCTGCATGTGGCACCTCTGCTTTGGTTCATTTTATCTTTTGGCTAAAGTTCCCTTATTTATAATTTATCACAATCCCAGTTTCCTGACCCCTTCTCATTTAAATTAATTTATTTATTTCCATACACATTTTTGCAGTGGCAGGCGTCCAAGCAGAAGATTAATTTAATATAACATGGCTATGCTGCAGGCTCTGTACCAGAGCTGTTTGCATGCCAAGAGCTGAATGGTTTGTCTCCTTTTTATATGAAAAGATTCCACACAGTAGACCCTCTCAGAAATTCTGAACAAGCCCTTGAGGGAGAAAAGTCACCTCAATGCAAGTATGTAGGTTAACTTACGGGTTAAAAGAGGGGGAATGTTATGAATCTAGCATCTATTTTCTCAGTTGAGTGGCCAAACTGTAGGAGGGGGCTTGAGATAAAGCTGCTGACAGATCTCAACTGTCAGCTTTATTGAATTAACCTCGGCAAGATAGTCCCCTCTAAATGGCCTCTAAATAGGTCACATTGTTGAGAGTGACACACAGTTGGTATGGGTAGAGTGACACTTCATCAGGTGGCTATAAATCTGATGGATGCTGACAGAAAATTAGAGTGGCTCTGACAGACAGATGCTTAAAGAGATGACGTGAGCCCACTTTGAACTCTGGACTTTGACCACCTGTTAAACCATGGCACCAAAGTTGTTGCTATTTTGGTTGTACACTGATGGAGTGGCCAGGTCATCTAATTGGTAGGTGTCAAACTCTCAAGTCACTGTGCGTACGGTACAAGCCTTCTGCGCGTCATCCCACTTCTGACACCAACGTGCCAAAGAAATTACAGACGATGAACACTTCACAGAGTGGTGCAGATGACATCTGCAATTTGGTGGCTTGAAGTTGAGAGACCTTCCATTGTCGTCATTCGTCTCACAGATAACTGCAAAGCCTGTAAAGATGGTTTCATTCCATGTGCAGTAGCAGACAAGTTGTCCACGCACACTAAAGGAGCTCCCGT